CATCCAGACTGCCCCGATCTGCCGACAAACAGCTGATCGGCAGAGCGGGGCAGCCATTTAAATTTAAATGAAGCCGCGATTATTTTAATCGCGGCTTCATTTCCCTCTGCCGATCTGGCTAATCTACATGCCTCCGTCGACGGAGGCATGTAGTTTAGACGTACCCTCTGAGTCAATGCTGGACCAGTGAGGTGTGTCAGCCAGACGGTGCTTGGCTCCAGCTGCGTGTCTGTCAAGCTTTCGCGTGTCAGTAAGATACCATGGCCCTTTCTCTGGGGGAAATGGAGCCTCATTGTCCAGGTCAATCTCTATCTTACCATCGTCGGTATTCCTCATGCACGTCTGAGCAGTCAGATTCGGCCTGTCTAATATTTCTCCCGTGATTTCAGTTGGACACTTCACTTCCGGTCTCACACTGGGTAGAACATTGTTGTGCCTTGTTCAGCTGTTGTATAGTTCCACTCCAGAGGTGGCCGCATTTCAGCCCTAGCGCTCATGCTTCCTCTGCATCGTTAATGTAGCGCGTGGTATTCCTCGGCGGGTGAATGAGCGACGGTGTGCGATCGCTTCCCTCCCCCAATGCAGTGCAGCTGCGTTACTGCGCGCGGCGGTCGTGCTGCGCTCGCCCGTCTGTTCTCAGCAGCTTTTTGCGCAGGGGGTGAAGTTTCTCTGGGAATGCGTCACGAGCCGGCGGATCCCCGGGAGCCACGGCTGCATCATGGCTGACGAGATGGGGCTGGGCAAGACCCTCCAGTGCATCACTCTGATGTGGACGTTGCTGCGGCAGAGCCCTGACTGCAAGCCTGAAATCGACAAGGCCATGGTGGTCTCTCCGTCCAGCCTGGTGAAAAACTGGTACAACGAAGTCGGCAAGTGGCTGGGAGGAAGGATCCATCCGCTGGCCATCGACGGAGGCTCCAAAGATGAGATCGACCGTAAACTAGGTGCGGGGGCTTGTCTGTCTCTAGGCCTGTACGAGATCTTCCAGCCGAAGGAAGAGACATTTCAACAGCTGGTGTAAAGATCTAGGGTCCGATTCAAAGCCCACTGAACTCATTGGGAGTCTGCTCATTGGCTTATGTGGATTGGGTTCCGGTCCGTGCACCTCTGTCCTCATTCAGTGGCTGCTCTCCTGGTGCAAACTCCCAGTGGGATTCACGTGGTGTGTTGGATTCATTTTGAGCCTTCCCGGGCTAGACAGAAGCCAGGGCAGGAGATGGGAGGCTGAGGGAGGGACCGTAGGGGTGGTGAGTGGGAGATAAAGGGAAGGAAGCAGAAAAGATGTGATGGGAGGAAGCAAAAGGCCAGTAGGGAGGGGCGCCCAGGGACATGAGAGAAGTGTCTGAGTGCTGAAGGGGGAAGTTCAAAGTGGGGGTTTGTGTAGGGCCTGCTCAAAAGCAGTTGGAATACCTGGAAAGCCTCCCCTGGACTTCAGAGGACAAAGGATCAGGCTCAGCTGTTTTCTGCCTGGCTTTCAAATACTGTGCCCCTCACGTCTTCCTCTTCCTTCCCATAGCCGGCTTTATGAACCAGCGCGGCTTGCGAGTGCCTTCCCCTATCCTGATCATTTCCTACGAGACGTTCCGCCTTCACGCCGAGGTCCTGCGGAAGGGGAGCGTCGGGCTGGTCATCTGTGACGAGGTACAGAGAAGGCGGCAGGGGCTTCCGGGGTCCCTGCAGAGCCTGTTCTGCTTTCACATGGAGAAAGATCAGGCCTGGCCACATTGGCCTCCCTGTCTTTGAAATGCTCTTGGCTGCTTGCGCCCAGGCCCCGTTCAGCCAGAGATCCCCAGGGGCTGTATGGTCCATAGCACTGTGGGAAGCCGAGTTACAAGTTGGCTAAATGACTTACCCAGCCTCGCGCTGCAAGTCAGGTCTCCCGGCGCCCAGACCTTTGCTCTGACCGCCGGATCACGCTGCCTCCCCTGAGGTTGCCTACAATCCTCAGGCTGGATCTGCGTTTCCCCACCTGCTATACTGAGGACAGCTCAGAACAGGTTAGGGAGCAACGGGCCCGCTTCAACGGCCATTGATATCCATGGACATTAGAGCAGGACCAACAGAGCATTGGATTCTTGTGTGCATGAAGGGCCCACTTTCCTGAGCGCTGGGCTAGCAGGAGGGGCCGGATCCACGGGGCTGTACGTGCGAATCCTTGCCTGAAGGGGAGCCCCTAAGTGCTTTCCCCGCACTGCTGGGAGGGTCTGGCAGTACCGGGGCGAAGGCAGAACTGGGCAAGGTGAGCGATCCTAGCTAAGGAGGCCGTACTCCTCGGGTGCCGGAGTCTGTTCTGCTAGGCCTGGACTGTCGGGAGCTCCGGTCCCGCCAGTAAAATGTAGTTCCATGCAGACCTTTCCCCTTTTTGCTCTGCAATGCTGTGTCGGTGGCCAGCTGCCGTTTGGGCTAGAGCCTCGTTTCCAAGCAAAGGGAGCCCTTGTGTCCAGCCCCGTGAGAAGTTGTACAGCACCCTGCCCGTGCTCTTCGCGCATCCTCTGCCTCCCTTAGAGCAGCTTCATTGAACGCTGGTAACGCTCGGTGGCTCGATTCTGTATCCGCTGTAATGCAGACTGCCAACGAAGCGCACGGTTATCTGTGTAGGTATTTATACTGAGCCCCTCCCCCTGGTATCTGGGCACCTTGTCTTTCATCCCAGATTTTGCAGCATTACAATAACCATCTCAGTTCCCGCTTGGAGGCAGGGGATAGTCTATTGTTCCCATTTTAGGAAAGGAAATGTTTGCTTGATTTGGGCCATATAATAATAATAATCAGGGCTCGACAAATAATGTGGCGAGTAGATTACAACCCAGAAGAGCCAGCGCAGAGGGCAGAACCGCGCAAAACCGCGCGGCTGGAGAGCAGGGCTCGCCGCTGCTTGGCAAGCCCTGATGATGATGATGATGATGAGGCTAGTACCCAGGGGTAGCACTAGTCGTAGAGCAGGACCTCTGTACGTGTGCAGAACGGACAGTCCTGTCCCGAGAAATGTCCCGTTAAAATAAATCCCCGCTGAGAGCGCACTCAGACCTGCTCTCCCACCGAGAGCCACAGGGGTTCCCTGTTCACTTTCTTTTTCGTTTTTAGGGCCACAGGCTAAAGAACTCGGAAAATCAAACCTACCAGGCTCTGAACAGCTTGAACACCCCTCGGCGAGTTCTCATCTCCGGGACACCGATCCAGAACGACCTGCTGGAATACTTCAGCCTGGTGCACTTCGTTAACTCGGGCATCCTCGGTAAGGCGCGGGAGGGCGTTAACCCCGTGCAGCGGATAGAACCCTCGAAGTGTAGGGCTGGGAGGGACCACGAGAGGTCATCGAGCCAGCCCCACATGCTGAGACAGGGTGAAGTAACCCTAGCCCAGCCCCGTCGGGTGTTTGTCCAACCTGCTCTTAAAACACCCTCACGGAGGGGAATCCACAACCTTCCTTGGGACCTTATTGCAGAACTTAACTGCCGCTAGAAAGTTTTTCCTACTATCTCTCCTGCTACAGAGGAAGCCCTTTGCCTCTTGGTCCTGCCCTCAGTGGACATGATCATTGTCCTCATTATAACAACCCTTAGCATGCTGGAAGACTCTTCTCAGATCCCTGCCCCCGCCCCCCAGTCATCTTTTCTCAGCTTAAGCGGTGACTCAAAAGGCAGGGTGACCTGACTGGCAGGGCCAGCCCCATCTCCCTGTGCTGGAGAAGTCAGCAGGACCAGCCGTTGTGATGGGCCTGAACTAGGGATGTAAGCTACTAGTTGACTACCTGATAAGCATAAGCTGATTGGATAATTGAGTAGCCACGCCCACCTTGCTGCCTCTATCAGAGAGTGGAAGTGGGGGGGCGGGGAGAGGGAGGGAGCCCCAGTACCATCTGAGCAGGGGAGGCAGAAGCATCCTTACTGCGGCGCCTCTCTCTTTGAAATGTACAAGAGCTGCGGGTGGTAGCAGGACAGCGAGCACCCCCTCCCCATCGACTAATTGAGTAGTCATTGGAAATTCTGTTGACTACTCGATTAGTTGATTCATCGACATTTAACATCCCTAGCCTGGACTGCAAAGTTCAAACGTGAATCTGGCCATTATGCTTATTTATTGTTCCTGTATTCCCAACCACCCTTTTTGTGTTACACACTGCACAATTCGTGGTAAGAAAGAACTTAACGAGCTAAATAGAGTAGGCAGATGAAGGAGCATTTCTCCCATTTCACAGACAGGGGACTGAGGCAAAGAGAGATGAAGGGACTTGCCCTGGGTCACACGGGGAGTCTGTGTCAGAGCGGGGAACTGAACCCCAATCTGAAGTCCCTGCATACTGCCTTAACAAGACCACCCTTCCTCCTGATTTCTTAGTCCTGTGTTGGTGATGTCCCAGGTTTGGATTTGGGACTGTTTCCTTCAAAGATGAGGAAGCCTGTGATTTTGGGTTTCACCTTGTCACCCCATTTATATAAAGGGGAAGAGTGACTTAGAGCCGATTGGCATTGTGAACAGGTGAGTTCTGACATGTTGTCCCTTGAAAGCTAAGCGGGGGGGGGGGGGAGGAGAAAAGCATTGGAAACAGAGGCACGGTTTGATCGTTTCTATTTCCTCCTTGCCGGAGGATTGAATTCTTCTGGCTGCGATGTGCAGATTTTGTGTCTGGGTTCTGTCTTGCATTCGCTGCCCTTGTAGTCTGCAATTGGGTTTATTTGAAGAGCACAGCGTATAACTAATCTGTTGGAGTGTTATGTTCTTTGCTGCCTCAAGAGGTTCAGATTGGCTCTGATGCCGTCTGTTAGGAAGGCCAAAAGCTTATCCCAGGAAGAGCTTCAAAGTGAAGAGCTTCAAATCTCATCAAACTAAGTGATTGAGCAACAAAATGGCAAATGAAATTGAATGTGGATAAATGTAAAGTAATGCAAATAATTTGTAAAGTAACCCCAAATATACATAGAATATGATGGAGACTAATTTGGCTACAACTACTCAAGAGAGAGATCGTGGAGTTATTTTGGATAGTTCTCTGAAAACATCCACTCCGTGTGCAGCAGCAGTGGAAAAGCAAACAGAATGTTAGGAATTATTTAAAAAGGGTTAGAGAATAAGACAGAAAATATCTTATTGCCTCTATATAAAACCCTGGTACGCCCACATCTTGAATACTGCGTACTGATGTGGTCGCCTCATCTCAAAAAAGATATACCGGCATTGGAAAAGGTTCAGAGAAGGGCAACAAAAATGATTCAGGGTTTGGAACAGGTCCCATATGAAGAGAGATTAAAAAGACTGGGACTTTTCATCTGAGAAAAGAGAAGATTAAGGGGGGATATGACAGAGGTCTATAAAATCATGACTGGTGTGGAAAAAGTGAATAAGGAAACGTTACTTACTTATTCCCACACTATAAGAACTAGGGGTCCCCAAATGAAGTTAATAGGTAGCAGGTTTAAAAGAAACAAAAGGACATTTTTCTTCACTCAGTGCTCAGTCAACTTGTGGAACTCCTTGCAGAGGATGTGGTGAAGGCTAGGACTTTAACAGGGTTCAAAAAGAGCTAGATAGATTCATGGAGGTTAGGTCCATCAATGGCTATTAGCCAGGATGGGTAGGAATGGTGTCTCTAGCCTCTGTTTCTCTGGAGGTGGGTGACAGGGGAGGGATCACGTAAGGATTACCTGTTGTGTTCCCTCTCTCTGGGGCATCTGGTATTGGCCACTGTCGCCAGACAAGATACTGGGCTAGATGGATCGTTGGTCTGACTCAGTCTGGCTGTACTTGTAGCTCTGTCCAACAGCAAGGATAAATAAACTAGTTCAGCTTTTGCTGTTATTCCAAGGCCTCTGATCTCTTTGTGGTGAACCCTAATGAGGGGGCATTAAATGGATCCCTACCGGGCGCACAGAACTCTCTCACCAGTCCGAGAGCGGGTGTGGGCCGTGTCTGATTCTGCCCTCGGAATTTCATCAGAGGGAGGGTGGGATGGGATTGTATTTCCTCCTCTTTGTCTCCATGGCTGTGTCCAGACTCAGGGGTTTTTTCGAAAAAAGTAGCCTTTTTTCGAAAAAACTTCACCTGCGTCTAGACTGCAGCCGCGTTCTTTTGAAATTAAATCGAAAGAACGCGGCTTTTCTTTCGACGGCGGTAAACCTCATTGCACGAGGAAGAACGCCTTCTTTCGAAAGAGCCTCTTTCGAAAGAAGGCGTTCTTGAATGTAAATAGGGCTTCTTCGAAAGAGAGCATCCAGACTCACTGGGTGCTTTCTTTCGAAAAAGCAAGCCGCTTTTTTGAAAGTTCCGCGTGCAGTCTAGACGCTCTCTTTCGAAAGAGGCTTGCAGTCTAGACATAGCCCATGAGTTTGGAATTGGCTTGAGAACTTATTACAGGGAGGCAGTATGGTCAGTTGAGCTGTATCTTCAGCAGTTCGTGTAACCTCTTCATGCCTTGGTTTCCCCAGGTATAATAATAAGCGGTTGGGGGGGTTTAGCGTTCAGTATGCTTTGTAAATGTTGTGGAGTTGTGTTGCTCACATTCTCCCGCACTGCTTGAATCATTGCTGCTGAGGCAAACAGGGTGACGCTTGCGAAACTAGGGATCCAGTGTTTCCATCCAGGACCCAAAGCCTTGTGGCAGTGCAAGGGGCAGAGGGGAAATCCATCTTTCTGTCCAAGGCCCACGTGCGGGAGACGAGACACTGATGTCACATTTGTCCTTTCCCCTCTCTTTGGGACAGGGACAGCGCAGGAGTTTAAGAAGCATTTTGAAATCCCGATCCTAAAAGGCAGGGATGCAGATGCAAGTGAAGGGGAGAGACACAAAGGGGAGGAGCGACTTAAAGAGCTGATCAGTGTTGTGAACAGGTGAGTTCGGACTTTTTCTCCCCTGAAAGCGAAGCCTAGCCCCCTCCTCCTCCCCCGATATGGTGTCAGGAAAAGTTCTGTTGTGAGTTTTATGCGTTGATAACTGATGTGCCAGTAAATCCCTAGTAACGCTGAAACCTAACGATATACTTAATCATAGAACACTAGAACTGGAAGGGACCTTGAGAGGCCATCAAGTCCTCTGCCCTCACAGAAGGAACAAGCGCCATCTAGACCAGTGTTTATCGATTTCATTTGGCCATGGAACCCCTAGGGTTGCCTAAAAAAAAAAAAAGGCCCCCAGCGCGATTTGAGGGGGACGGGGAAGAGTCCCGGCGCAAAAAAGCTTTGTCTTTTTAAGAAGGGCCTAGGAGTGCTGGCGCCTTGTGGAACCCTTACTTTTGCTTCGCTCCGCCGAGCACCAATTGGGAAACACTAATCTAGACCATCCCTGATAGATGTCTGTCTTAACTGCTCTTAAACATCTCCAGAGATGGAGATTCCACAACCTTCCTAGGCAATTTATTCCAGTGTTTAACCATCCTGACAGTTAAGAAGTTTTTCCTAATGTCCAACCTAAACCTCCCTTGCTGCAATTTGAGCCCATTGCTTCTTGTCCAATCATTAGAGGTTAAGGAGAATAATTTTTCTCCTTCCTCCTTGTAACACCCTTTTAGGTACTTGAAAACTGCTGTCATGTCCCCTCTCGGTCGTCTCTTTTCCAAATTAAAAAAACCCAATTCTTTCAGTCTTAACTCACAGGTCATGTTCTGCAGACCTTTAATCATGTTTGTTGCTCTTCTTTGGACCTTCTCCAGTGTCTCCATATCTTTCCTGAAATGTGGCGCCCAGAACTGGATGCAGTACTCCAGTTGGGGACTGATCAGTGCAGAGTAGAGCGGAAGAATGACTTCTCGTGTCTTGCTCACAACACACCTGTTAATGCCTCCCAGAATCCTGTTTTCTCTTTTTGCTAAACTCTTCCAATGTGCAGTTATACTGTGCAACGGGACTGACACTCCTGGCTCCCACTAACTCCAGTTCATTCAGATTACAAGTCATATGAAGATTTTTCTAATTGTCCCACGTTTCATATGCCACTTGGTGCCTTAGCATCCTGCTGTTTTTCTTTTATCGGCCTGATGCTAAAGATTGGACAATTAAGACAACTGTCAACTCTGATGATGACACATGAGGCAAACAGAACTCAGCTCATGGCTATGGTGGTTCTGTGGGGCTAAGAGGAATAACCCATGTTTGTGCCAGTTGGGTAAAAAGTTGCAGCCCGAGGAGTATTTTAATACCTAGTCCTTATCAGCCATATTTCATCAGTTGATCTCAAAGCATTTTACAAAGGAGATTGGTAGCACTGTCCTCATTGTACAGATGGGGAAACTGAGGCACAGAGAAGGAGAATAATTTGTGCCAGGTCACCCAGCAGGCCAGTAGCAGAGTTCGTAATAGAATCCAGGACTCCTGAGTCCCCATCAGTACTCTGCCCACTAGGCCACACTGTAAGATTGTGTAATTTTTTTTTCTTTTTTACCCCGTTACTTTTCTGATTATGAACTGTAAGTAACCACGCTAACGAAATCTTTGACAGGTTACTGATTGACAGCCGCAGCGCCTTCCCTAGAGTCTGCTTTGCATTCACAGTCTTGCTGGAGGCTTGGTTCTATCTAAGCTTTTGCAACCATTGCAAATACCATAGAGCAGTTCATAGTCACGGTAAATTGAATTCCACGTTGAACGCCCGCTCTGCAAAATCGGCCATGACCTTGATGCAGCCTGGTGGTAAAGAGACTGTGACACGTGCGTGCCGGAGGGGTAGAACGTACTCCTCCTGAACCTGCTGGGCCTCTGCTTTGGTTCGTGGATTTGACACTGCAGCTCTGGACTCTGTTCAGCCTCCATTGCTTGGGGAATTCCTGCCCTGTCCCCCAGGATGTGGACACCCAGGCATCAGCAACTCTGGGGAGAAAAAACAAGTGGTCCTATGGCACTTTAGAGACTAACAAATATATAGAGTGTCGCGAGCGTTCGTGGGCACAACCCACTTCTTCAGATGACTCATCTGAGGAAGTGGGACTTGCCCACGAAAGCTCGCGACTTGTGTATATAGGGACCAAGGATACTCCCAGCTGATCACACCTAGCAAGTTAGCAGGCAAGGCAGTTGCTTAGTTTGGGCATAGATTCTATAGGGACTTACGCTGTAGGGATGTAAAAATGCAGTTTCAAATGTAACCGTGTAACTGCTAAAAATCACAGCGGTTGCAAGCCCTGCATGCTCCCCGAGAGTAGGACTGGCAGGGGGCTGGCAGCCCCCGCTCCAGGGAGCCAGCGTGTAACCTGTGGGTCCCATGGGGCTGGAGCAGCCCCCCACCCAGGAGAAGGCAGAGAGCTGCTCTATCCCCTACCAGTTAAATTAACCTTTGACATCCTTATTACACAGCCATGTTACTCCGCCGCTGGCTTTTTGATTTCCATGTCACCTGTGTTTCTAATCCCTGTTTCCTTCCTTGCAGATGTTTGATCAGGAGAACTTCAGATATCCTGTCCAAATACCTACCTGTGAAAATCGAGCAGGTGGTTTGCTGCAGGTACGGGACAGTCTACCCAAGTCAGGGACAGAAAAGAAAGAACAAAAGTCAAGGCCAAACTCTCAAGGAATAGTTTGGATTTTAGGGTCTTGGGTTGTAGTGGCGTCTCATGACCAGTGTTCCCTGTAAGCTGTGTGCTTGTTCAGTTGTTCAGGAGAGAGTCCAGTGCTGCCCCGGTGATTAGCAGCGCACCTACAGCTAGGTTTGTGTTTCTCATGGTGGTGCACATTCACACATGCCTGGGTGCACAGAACAAAATTAATTCTGCACATAGGTGGGGGAAAAATTGCACATGGATGGAAACGATTAAAGAACATTGTTTGTGAAGGAATCTGTGGAGGACTAAGGCTCTGCCAGTGAGGGATGTGTTTTTGTGGCCCAGAAAATCTCCAGCTGAGATGGAGGAAGAGGACTGAGAATGGCTTGCAGATCTGCCCGCAGCTGTAAAGTTACCACCCTGCGCTAAGTCCTTTTTCTGTTTCAGGCTGACACCTCTGCAGGCTGAGCTGTACAAGCACTTCCTGAAGCAAGCGAAGCCGGCCGAAGAGCTGAAGGAGGGGAAGATCAGCGTGTCGTCTCTCTCCTCCATCACGTCCCTGAAGAAGCTCTGTAACCGTGAGTGAGGGGTGATTCCGTGCCATCCTGGTCGTGCCTGCGGCGCATTGGAGGCAGGAGCGTCACCAGTCCTGTCAGCCAACCTGTCTGCTCCAAAGAGCCTGTCATCTAATGACCCCATTGGCTGTCATCTGGCCATCCGCTCCCTGCCTAAATTAGCCCCACATCTGGAGGGCTGGAACCTGTGACCCTCCTGCCTGGCAAGACAGGCCGCTGTCTCTTGGCCCAAAGGAGATTTCCTGTGGCTAAGAGAACTGAGAGGTCCAGCCATTAGAGGGCAACATTGCTTCACTTAAATACACCCAGCCGTAGCGCTGGCTGGGAATGTTTCCATAGGATCAGTCCCAGGACTGGAAGAGACCTCAGGCGTCATCGAGTCCAGCCCCCTGCCCAAAGCAGGACCAACCCCAACTCCATCAGCCCAGCCAGAGCTCAACACCTCTAGGGATGGAGATTCCACCCCCTCCCTAGGGAACCCAGCCCAGCGCTTCCCCACCCGCCTCGGGAAATCGTTTTTCCTAAGATCCCACCTAGACCTCCCCCCTGCAACTTGAGCCCATTGCTCCTTGTTCTGCCACCTGCTCCCACTGAGAACAGCCTCTCTCCAGCCTCTTGGAACCCCCCTGCAGGAAGCTGAAGGCTGCCACGAAATCCTCCCTCCCTCTTCTCTTCTGCAGGCTAAACGAGCCCAAATAAGACAACTACGTTTTGGCTAAACATGTTGTTGTAGCAAAATACTAATGTGTTGAAACAAAAACTGTGAAGCGGGGGCAGGGGGCTGGCGATGGGGCAGGGCTGGACTCAGGGAAGGGTTCTGGGAGTGTGGGGCGGATGCTGGAGGTGGGGGATGTGTGGGAGTGAGGGTTGGGTGGTGAGGTAGGGCTTAAGACTGGAGGCCCCCCCAGCCACCGGGGCATTTTCTGTGCCCCCAACGCTCCCCCCGGCCAGAAGGGGCCTTTTTTTCCTGCCTCTTCCCCCGCCCCCAGCTCAGGAGCTGAGGGCTGGGATGGGGGGAAGAGGTTGGAGCAG